GGGAGCACTGCAACTTGCCCTTGTCTATTCTCTCTGGCTAATGAAGCTTTACCAGAGCCTGCTTGTGAATTCCTATTAAGACCTCATCTTAGAGGTTACAGGGCAAAACAATTTCTGCTCCTGGGAAAAATGCCTATGAATTTGTAATTGTAAGTCCATGTTTGATAGGGATTAGCATCTGAAAGGGGTAGAGTGGTGGGTAGCAGAGAAAACATTATTTCAATTAGCTGAAGAAAAGCAATTCAACATCTGATTATAGTTTATACTTCTAATTTTCTCCTGTTTCTCTATTTTTTTGTAATTTTCTGGCATCTGAGTAATTATTTCCTGAGACTTTCCACCCTCACCAAACCAGCCACCTTCCCCTTCTCCTCCTCTTGTCCACCATAGCTGAGGTTCACATGTAAATGGTTGGTGAGTTGGGTTTTTTTCCTTTCCCTTCCTCTCTGCAGATTCACTGAATTTGGGGCTGCTGTAGAGTATTCTGTATCAAATCACACTGAAATGGGTCATGATATTTCTCTCCATGCCAAGGAGGTGAAAGATGAGGAGGGAGAGGCTTTGCTCTACATCCAGGCTCATGGTCAGGCTTGTGCCCAGCAGCTTGACACGGTGCCAGTGCCTGACTCTCCTAGGCAAGAGCCCCAATGCCTAAAGATTCTCTCTGTGCTTAGAAATTACTTCCAACTCCCTTCTTTCCTCCCACCCCTTGGCCTTAGCCTTGAGCTCAGCTGTCCTCCATCTATTTTTTCGTGGCTTCTTGCTCTCCTATTTCCTAATGACGATGCAATCAGTTTTCGGGTGTGAGATTCCTCGTGAGAACGCTTGTTGTTATTTAAGGAAGACCATGAAATCCATCCTTAATGAAAGGACAGGAGAAAACCCTTCCACCAAGTTACATTGAAGCCTGAGATTATCATTTTTATGGGCTTCCAATCTTTCCTGCCTCATGTCTTATCAGCAAATGCAGCTGGAGGCTTCAAAAACCCTCCCAGCTTGCTGCTGATTTTATGGGATGAAGATTAGAGATGATCGGATAGCAAATTATTCATTCCATTCCATATCTCTGGGCAGGAGGGAATATCCAGAGCAAAGTCAGCTCCTTTCTCCCTTTCTGAGCATCACACACTGGGAACCTTCCTATCTGCCACTCCAGCAACGCAGCAGCGCTTTCCCCCCACACTCAGAGGTGATTAGGGGTGCAATATTCCCTCTGAGCAGATGGAAAAGCCAGGGGGAATCACAGATTCAGCAGGCTCATCCCCCAACAATGAGGCAAGGCAGAGGCAGGTGGGGTTTCTTCTTGCTTCAGGGGTTTTTAGTTTGATTCCTCCCAGCCCAGGGGGAGGCAGGGCAGATCATGTAGGTGTTTTCTCAGCTGGATTTTCCAAGGCTGTGGGGCCTGAGGCTGATGTGAACGTGCTGTCAGAGCTCTGGCAGCTCCTGAGTCAGGGCCAGAGGAGCAGGGGGCTCAGAGGGAACAATGGATGAAGGAGAGATCCCAGAGCTGCCCTCCCTTAGATGCTGAAGCAGCAGCATCAAGCCCCAGCACAGAGAGTGGAGGGCGTGAATGCTGCCCACTGACCCATCCCAAAATCAACTGGTGTCAAAAACATCATCCAGAATGTCCCATGAAATACTCATGGCCCACAGTGGTGCTGCTGAGCAGACCTTAAGGGCAAATGAAGGCCATGGACTCCTTTTGCCAAACCATTGACAGTGGGGTTTTCAACAGCACACAAATAAGAAAATATATGGCAGTTTAAAGGCATTTTTGAAGAGGAGAAGTGGGGTACAGAGCTGTGTTAGATGAAAACCCAGAGCAGGAGCTGCCTTTTTCTGCTGCCTTTTACCCACATTGGCACACTGAGCCAAGGAAATGTCCTTTTCACAGTGGTTGTAGCTCCTGGTTCCCTCCTGGCAGCATCCAGAGCAGGCAGGATTTGAAAGACAAGTGTCAATGGGAAATGAGAGAACTCTGGCACAAGCAAAGAATATTTGGTTTGGGTGGTAGATGTCAAAATAAACAAGAAATTATAAATTTGATTTGTAGGGTTTTTATTTATGTGAGGTTTTTTGGTGTGGGTTTTTTATGTTTCATAGCAGCTATAGAAATGTAATAAATCTATAATTACTTTTCTACAAAAATTACAATCTCTTCTTTAGGGAATGTTCAGGTTTGCTCTCATATAGAGTTTTTTTATTTTTATGGCTTTGTCTGGGAGACAGAGAGGAAATGGAGAGGATGAAAGAGGGAAGGAAGGAGGGAGGAAGGAAGGAAGTGAAGGAGGTAAAGAAGAAAGAAAACAAATTCCATTAAAACACAGAGTCACACAATATTTTTCAAAGAGGAAGTGGCATCTGTGCTTTGAAATGTGTCATCCAGGAATGTTGCTTTGAGCAAATACAAATTTTTCCTAAAAGTTATGTATTTTTTAGGGGAAATAATCACCAATTTTTGGAGTATATGAGTGTAAAGCCTGAAATTCCAGTCCCTGCTTTGTGTAAAATTTGTTGTACAGGCAACTGCTCAGATGGGTCCTTGAAAGAGCATTGAGCTGGCTTTGGCTAAATGCTGCCAGGGTGATTTGTCCTTCCGTGCCTCAGTTTCCCTCAGCTCTAAAATGGACTTGTAGGGCTTTGTATTACCATGGCTGGGTGATGCTGGAGGCTTAAATGAGAGAGACATCAGGATTTCCATCACCCCACAGCAGAAACACACAGTTATTTGTTGTTGCAGGTCCCAAGCCACGGCCAGGATGGCAAAAGGAAAACCTGGCAAATAATTTGTTGAAATTTCAGACTTTGCCCCTGCAGTGGGGCTGCTACAGTGACTTGCAGCTTCTCATCCCCCCAGGCCAGACCTGGGGATATGCAACCAAGGAGGTGCCACGGGAGCTTTGTCACAAAGGCAGTACCTTTCTAATAGCTGCGGGGGCTAAACATGCTTGGGAGCACAGGGGAGCTTTGAGATAAGCCCTGAGTGATTCCCTGGCCTCATCTGTGAGCCCAAAACGATTAAATCACTGAATTGTCTTAATTTTCATATAAATGTGGGAACATGCATTTGGTAAAGTACTGTTTGCTCCTCAGGATGCAGCAAGACCACTCTCTGAGAGGCACAGACAGAGCCCTGCCTTCGTCCCAGGGCCTGGTCTGTCATGTCCTACCGCCCCCAAACACCACAGCATGTGGGTGGATCCTTGAGACCTCCCTATCTTTGGGAAATCGGCCCAAAGTCCCTGGAGCTATGCTGTGCAGAGCCCCCGGGGTGAAAACACCACCCAGAGCAGTGAAGGAACATCAGGACCCAGCCCCAGGCGTGACAGGGGAGTGGAGAGCAATAGCAGAATGTCTCAGACCTTGAATTTCCCAGGGGCAGCAGCGGGAGCGGCTCCTCTAGGGCTTCTGATCTGCTGATAAAGCCTTCTGCTCCAAACACCCAGGCTGCTCTTGCTGGGCTTTTGCAAAGCTACAGGCAGGCAGCAAAGATGGCAAAGAGTTCTTCACACTTTCCCAGATAATGTGGAAGCAGGTCTTGGGGGCCCCAAAGCTCACTCTCATTTTTACTTATTCACAAGCTATTCCTTCTGCTCTGTAACATGATTAGATTGATTAATTATGGGCCCCTGCTGTGACACTTCCTTGCTGAGTACAGAGAGTCCCTGCCCCACAGATTTGGCAAGCAGAAATTAGCGGGGTTGGCAGTGGGGTAATCCCACATTGCAGCTGGGGACCTGGACATGGAAAGGAATTTGGGAAAGAGTTGGGAACTGGCCTTCGATCTTGTACAGCTCCAAGTCAGATCTGGTTTGTCTTCAGGATAAATGATATTATTGTAAATACAGGGTAAAGAGCTGAGATGAAGGAGGGCAGTCCTCCTGTGGTGGGTGCTGCACCCTCCTGGACATGGGTCCCATGGGGATAAAGTGTTATTTGCTTCTAAGGACAGAGCACCCAGGCAGGGTCCCTGAAGGGGAAATCACCAGACCCAGAGGTTCAGATGCTGCTGAGGGGTTACAAAGATGATGTGACACATCACAAGAAGAGTGACAATGGAACCCCTGGCTCACAAGTTTATAATTTCCTCCAGGAGCAACTGAAGCTTCTCAGCTGTGAAGCCAAATATCTTTTATTCTTCCTGTGGGGTGGGTTTGCCAGTCATCCAAACCTGATATGGGCTGGGAAACTGCTTAACTCGGGACCTGCAACATCCTCTGTCCTGCACCATCAGTGCAGCCTTTGTGAAGGGCAAGCCTTGCAGCCTGCTGCAGCTCTCTGGCTGTTTCTACCTCTTCTGGTATAGAAGAAATTTTGGGGACAGCCCTGATGACTCAATAAAATGGAGGCTGGGTTTATTTAATAGTGTCATCATGAAACGAGGTGTGGGAGGTGAGAGGCAGTACCCACCATGGAGTCTCTCCTATTAACCGGATGCTTTAAAGCCCCAAATGTGCCCTGCCGGGTTCTCAGTGACACGTGGCCAAAAGAAAAAGCAGGGAAGTGATTTGGGGTCCCACAGGGTGGGAAGGAATGTCAGAGCTGGGGCATTGCTGGACTCGCCCCGTTCTCCCCCTGTGGGGAGGGCACCTGGGGGACACCACGCTCCCCAGGCACCACAGCTTCACTGGGGAAGGGTTTTACCCATCTGGCTCTCGTTTTTTCCTCCTGGGCCGATGCAAATATCTTGTGCCTGAGCTCCCTTCCACGCCCTGCCTAAGGGGACTGTCAGGTTCAAGTCACCGTGCCCCAAACTCCCCGCCGGCTTCCGCGGGAGAAGGCAAAGAGGCACCTCCTTCCCGCAGCAGGATTTGAATATCCAGGTGAGAGCATCGGCCTCCCTCGTTAAGGTGTTTGATAATTGACCAGGAGCTCATTCCTGCGGCAGGGCGACGTGCCCGAGCGAGCGCCCGGCTCTTCCTGCGCATCCCGGGAGCCCCGGAGCTGCCACCAGCACCAGCACCAGCACCAGCACCAGCACCAGCACCAGCACCAGCACCATGCCTGCCCTCCGCCTGCTGCTCCTGGCGCTGCTCCTGCAGCTGCATCCTGCCTCCTGCCAGGAAGGTGAGAGGGGAAACTGAGGCACGGCACAGGGGGGCAGCTGGGAGCTGCTGGAGGGGCACAAGGGACAGCTGGGGAAGCGCCTCTTGGGAAGGGAAAAGACATCCCAGCTCCTGGCTGAGCTTTAGCCCTGGCACCAGGATGGATGGGTGGGTGTCCGCTGGGTTGAGCGGTTTTTGCCGGGGACACGGAGCCTGTTTTGCTCAGGCTGTCACCTGAGGTTTATCTGAGCTGCTTGCACAGAGATAAACTGCTCTGATTTACCTCTGTCAGGACTGTGCACTGAGATGAGTAATCTGTTTTCCTAAGGCTTTTTTTTTTCTTTCTTTCTTTCTTTTTTCCCCTCTCTTATCCTTGAGCAAGTCTTGTTCTGCGTTGCTCCCTGAGCTCTCAGGTCCTCATGTTAATCTGTAATTTTGATCATTGCTGAGGAGAGGGAGTAAATATTTTCGGCAGCAAATTGACCTCCTCTTCGCTTCCCAAAGACTTAACAGAGAAACTTCCTGTGCCTAGGGTATTATTTTTAGGAAATTCACTGAAGGGCTTCTCTAATGCTAGAAATAACGAGGAGTAATTAAAACTCACGTGGCGCTGCCAAAGTCCCGGAAAATTCCCCCCGCCCCTTTCTCCTCCTGATGCCCCAGCCCTGACCGCTCTTCCTGTGTTTGTTTACCAACTTGCTGAGGATTTAACAGTCTGGGGTGTCCATTGTCAGCAGGGTTGAAAATTTCGTTGTTGCTTGGAAAGAGTGAAAAAAAAAACCAAAAACCCCAGAAATCCTTTAATGAGGATTCAGAGCCTGGCAGGGCTTCCTTAGAGAGTGGAAAAGACAGGCCAGCCAAAGCTTTCCAAACACTCAGGGAAAAGGTGTTAAAAAGCAGGCCTGTGTCTTCAAATTAGCTGTTGAGTATGGAAATGGATTTGCAACAAGTGCACAGGCTTTTTTTTTTGGCACTGGCACTTCCCTTGGTCTGGTTTGTTGCTGCAGATGTGTGGAGACACCTGCCAGGGCTGCAGACTGCACATTGCTTAGTTTGGCTTAGGAGATTTTATTTGTGATGGAAAACCCCACTTTTACTGTGGGGCAACAGAGAGAGGAGGTGGCAGAGCCTGAGGGACAGGCTGACCCAGGAGGGGCATCCCCGGTGAAGCATTTTCCAGGAACACAGAGCCTCATCCTTTCAGCCCTCCCTCCTGGCAGGGCAGCAAGGTGTGCCTGCTGGGGCTGCAGCAGTGCCCCCGAGGGCTGGCACCTAAGCACTCACTTCCTGAATAGATCCTGTCAAGCTCTTGCTTCTGGCTGATCTCCATTCCTCCTTTCTTATGCCCCTGCAAGTTTCCCAGTGGGTATTTCAGCCCAGTGCAGAGGCATTTGCCATTCCCTCACCATCCTTATCTCCCCTTGCAGCCAGGCCCTGCGTGGTCTCTCAAAGCCAGAACCCCTTGATTTTGGTTTGGTGTTTTCCCTTTTGGCTTTGGATGCTCTGGAATCCGGTGGAAGCAGCCACAGGAGTGAGATTTCACTTGCAAAAGAATCCAGTAGCTCCTGAGCGTGGTTGCTCCAAGGAGGTTTTACTACCACTTTTCACCCCCCCTCCTTTGCTGGATGATCATGAGATGCAAATTTGGCAGTTTAAGTCATTGCTGACTTCGTTCCCTGGTTGACCTTGAACTCCCTTAACCCCAGCAGAAACCTCACAAAGGGCTGGATCTGACCACCCTCCCCCGTAGGCTTAGGCTGGAAACCCTGGGTCTGGCAGGAAAAATAAACTGCAATTAATAAATAAATGTGGCCAGCAGCCAAGGGCAGAGTGAGGGAGGATGCAAAGAGAGCCAAAATTCAGCCAGGAGGCAAGAGGTGAGTTTGGGGCTGCACTCACAGGGGTGCTGGGCAGAGGGGCAGGAGCATCCTTGGCCACCAGGTAGGGCAGGAGGGGACCAACCCCTGCTCCTCCCCACTGTCACCACCCGGCCACCACCACCAGCAGCTCGCTGATACAATGGTGTTTCAGTCGAAACACGCTGATACAAGAGGGAATTTCCATCTCAATTCCTCCTCTTGAGTTTCTGCCCTGGGACCTTGCAGAAACACGACAAATGTCTCTGTGGGGAGAGGGGGCTGGGAGATGCTACTTAGAGCTGTTCTCACAGCCCCTTGCTGCTGCTTTCCAGGCTGGCACTGCTGGTGAGCCCGCTGGCCAGGCTGATTTCACTTCCAGGAGGAAAAAAATAGCTCTGGTTTGGGGTTTGAGGTTTTAGTGTTGTTGTTTTATTTATTATTTTTTAAATAAAAGTCTCTTGCAGTAAGGACTCAGGGAGCTGGGGGTGTTACCAAAGGACAGTCCCCCTCCCCAAAATCAGAGGGAGGAGAGCTGTTAGCAGCAGAGCCAGTGTGAAACTGGCTGTGGGTTGGGAGTTTGTAGGTATGGGGCACACAGCCTACTCTTATTACTGCTAGTAAAGATTATTTTCTGTTCATAACAGAGGTTTGTCTCCTGTGAGATGGAGGAAATGTTGGGTGAAAAGTTCCTGAGGGAGACTGAAGCAAGCATTGCTCAGCCTTACAGGTGTCCCTGGCTGGGTCTGAGTGTCCCGAGGCTGCTGCTGGGGCTGGCAGGTGTCACCCTGCTGCTGTCCCACCTGCCCGTGCCGAGGGACCACGTCCTGTGCAAGGCTCGGTGTTCTGATGGGCAGGATGAGGAAAAGCTGGGTCTGAGTCACTAAATCTCAAAGGGATGTGGCTGTATGGACAAGGTGCTCTTTAGTGATGATGTGACAGCGCTTAAGGATGGGTTTGACTACGTCTGAATGCTCCATTGTCCAAAATCCAGTGCGAGGCAAGGAGCAGCCATCCCAGCAAGGGCTGGGACAAGGTTTGCATCCTACCCACATCCAGGAATGTGTCTCACAGCCTTCCCACCCGTGGCTGGATTCCTGCTTAGGTCTGGATAGAGAAAAAAGAACTTGTCAATCTGTTCCACTCCTGGGGGAAATGGGGATAGCCCAGTCAGCTCCCAGTGCCCCCACCCCGCCACCCCAATGCTGCTTGGGCCCCTGCCAGCCCCGCCTGTTCTCTGTGCTGAGGTTATTCCTCTGAAAGCCTCAGCCTTCAATTTCTGTCATAAATCATTTGCTGCTCTGGAAACTTGTTGGATGGTGCATTTCACCAAAATCCACAATGACAATTTTTTACTGTGAGACTGGCAACCAGATTTTACACTCACCTGTTACAGGGTCCTTATTTTACCAGTCAGTATTTGGAAAATATCCTGGGAGTGATGTCTGTGGCATCTGGGGACAGAGAATAAACAGTTTGCTGAAACCCCTCTGCCTTCCTTCCTTTGGCAAACATTTTCCTTCACTTCCTTCCTCCCTGTCCCCCAGGCTTTTTCTCCCTCATCAAAGGTCACCAGCCCCCCAAGGTGCATATTTATGTATTTGTATGTGTATGCCAGTGTGCATGGCACCCCAAAGCTGCAAGGCACCACGCTCCACACACAAACACCAGTGAAAACACTGCTCATGGTACTTTATTTCACTGCTATCATCCTGCCTGAACTGCCAGCAGCACGTTCTGCTCAGATTTGCCAGATCAAGCTCTCATCTGGACCTTGCTGAAGCTGGATGGGAGAAGCTGGGCTGATAAAGCCTGAGGGTGAATTTCTAACACGTGTCCTGTCCTTTCCCTGCAGCCCGGGGCAGTCTCCAGCCGTGGTCACAGGGTGTCATCGCAGTGGTTGTATTTCTAGTGCTGGTGGCCATCGCTTTCGTCGTCAACAGGTTCTGGTGTAAGGATAAAGTGTAAGTGTGGGAGGTTGCTCTGGGTTGGTCACTTCCAGCAGCCTCTGTGTGTGTTCCAGGGCTGGGAACACTGTGCTTGCTGTGCCGGGGGAGCAAAGACTCCCTGTCCTCATCTCCCTGTCCATTTGTCCCTGTCCTGCTCTCTGATCCCTGTTACTGATTGCCAGCTGTGAGCTTGCACCATACAAATGCTGCCGTGAGAAAGCGCTGTGTTGGGAATGGCAAAGGCACAGCATCGTGGCTGGATTACCTGGGCACGTGTTCAGGGGCCTGGCCCAGCCTGGTTTGCTGTAGCTTTTGGGGTGCAGTTCCCATGTGCCTTGTATCTGTGGGATAATAAACCTGAATCAAGTTGTTTTTTTTTTTTTGCAAAGGAGACAGAGCCAAGTTGTGAGAACACACAGAGGAGCTGGGAGAAAAGGGAGGTAGCCAAGCAGTGGCAGCACTCTCCACCTGGAGCACGTGGCACAGGCAAATGTGGTGTCTTTCCTCATCTGGAAAAGGCTCTGTGGGGTGGGTTACCTCTTGCCTGATGCTGGCCAAGCAGAGTCACAGGCTGCTGCCCCTGCTCAGCTGAGCTGACTAAGTTGCAGTAACCTGATCTTGACCCTGAGCCCAAACGCAACGGGATGGAGACCAAAAGCACCCCACATCTGTTTCCTGTTCCTCTGCACTGGTGGGGCTGCTTTAGGCTGGAGTCTTGTACCTGTACGCTCCTGCAGCCTCTCCAGGCTGTGCAGGTGGGGAGCTGGTATATACCCTGATGCTCAGCAGGTCAGCTGTAGTCCCAGAGGCATTTTAATTGGGATGAATTCCTGGCCAATGCATAATACAAAATGTGTGTGTGTATATATATATTTATATGGTCTGATTTGCCACTGTAGTCTTTGTTTCCCAAAGAGGAACCTTTGTCCTCAAACTGAAGGAACCCCCAGCCCATGGAGTGTCCGGCAGGGATGGTGTTTCCCACTGCTGCTCGTGCCTGGCTGCCTTTTCCCAGCCTGGAGGCAGAGGATGCTGAGGAGGGCTTGAGGAGGGATGGTGCCTTGTTTTAATTAATCTGGCCTTTCTTCAGAAGAGCGGGAGCGAGGCTTGGCAGCCTGGAGCCCTGCCAGCACTGCGCTGTCACTGTGACAGCAGCTATCAGCTCGAGCCACTGCCTGTTTATGCCAGGCTGTTCCTTGGAGAAGCCTCTGAAATTGCCCTTGCGCAAGTGCTGGAGGAGGCAGCGATGCAAATGCAGGGTGGACCTGCACCCACCCTCTGCAGCTACATCCCCCTGGCACTGCTCAGGCTGTGGGCTGGCTCCAGAGCTGAGCTTTGGGAGTCTGGCTGAGGGTGAACACCCCATCCCTGGCCAGTGGTTCCCTCTGCAAGCGATCCAGACTCACTTTTGAGAGAGAGCAGCTCGGCTTTGCTCACACGGACGTGCACAAGGACAGCCCCTCTGTGCCAGGGCTGAGGCACCAGTGGAGCCTTGACTGCTCTCTGTGTGTCCATCAGGATCCACAGAGGACTATTTTGCAACAGATTACATAGAAGTAGACTGGAAAAACCAGTTAGTGGGGAGAAACAATCCCACATATTGACAATGAGTCCTGTTGACTGCCAGCACGATGCTGGGAGTCACCGCTGCACAGACAGGGGTTGGCACTTGGCACAGCCTCTGCAAACCTGCAGGGAGGGTGTTTCTCCTTGTCCTTGTCCTGCTGGGAAGGAAGCTGAGCAGGGTGTTTGAGGACAGAATCACATCCAGGTCCCTTATTGTCTCTGTAGTGTCATCACCTATAAGAGGCTGGTCCCCAGCACAGCTCCTTTGTTGCTCTGTCCCAATTCCTCTCTTCTCTCCCTCCAGGGAAAGTGTCGAGAACGTGGTGAGTGTGGAGGACAAGCCAGATGCTGTCACGTCCAACGGCCACGAAGGGAGATACGTATCAGCTGCAGCTGACTTCAGGTGAAGGACCTGCTCAGACTCCTTCCCCTTGGCTCTATCCTGTTCCTCTGGGGACAGCTCAGACATGCAGAGCTGTGGTCTCACCCACTCAGGGTCTAACACATCCCAGGCACCTATTTCTGGGGCTTTTAACATTTCCAGGGACTAAGCACAAGGCAGTGAGGGAGTATCCCCTGCTCCCTCATCTCTCCCTATCCCTGCAGCTGAGCCCCACAATCCATCCACCACCTCACAACCTGCTACACCACATTTTTCTTATGCTGCATCACAGCTTCCCAACAGAGGAAACCACCAAAAGTGACCACAGGTCACCACGTAGATGGTGACAGTCCAAACAGCCCTCACTAAAAACCAGAGCAATTCCCACCCCACACTTGGTTCCAGCCCTTTCAGGGTGACCCCTCCTGTGGTCCCCATCTCACCCCTCACTCCGTGCACAGCTGGCACCAGCAAGGTCAGGACGCCAGTGGTGGCTTTGGGGATGCTGCTCTTGCTGGGGCTGAGCTCAGCATTGTGCTTGTCCCTGTTGATGCAGGTCCAAAGAGAACCAGCACGCCTACGAGAACACCGTGGAGCCCGAGGAGAAGGTGATCACCACGGCCATGTAGCAGCACCCGCCCGCCGCCCTCCTCTTCCTCTCGATTCGCTTCCCGCTATTGCGATGGGCATTCTCACGGAGACCCTCTGTGCTGGCACCCCCTGGGAGTGATGGGGCCTCTCCCTGGCACCACCACCTCCTGATCTTTTCCTTTTCCACCCGTGGGACATGCTCCTGTCCACAATGTCCCCAGGAGAGGTTTGGAGGTGCCACCTGTCCTGCCTGGTGGTCACCCCACCTGGCTGCCAAGGTTGATGTCCCAAGTCCTGGGAGGGTGTTGACCTGTTCAAGACACAGAGGGGGATCCTGCTGGGTGCCTGGGACATCCCCACACTCCCAGCTGCCCTCCAGGGAGCTGCTGATGGAAAACCTGCTCTTTTCTCCCCAGTTCACCCTCCTTTTTATGACCTGCACCATGCATTTTAATGTCAGAACAAACTCCCCCTCTGTACATATCTTCCTGGTGAGCAATAAACAGAATTGTTGCCTATGACAGCAAAGAGAGTCGTTCTGCTAATCAGCCAAAGGACTTTCTGGCATCTCACAGCTCACCCAGCCTTCAGGCAGTTGGGAGAATGAAGGACATCAGGGAATGCTCAGCGTTTGGGCTGCCCCAGAGCCTCAAAGGGATGTACAGGCAGGTGAGAGCAACATTCCACCCCATTTGCCAGGTGGGGCTCCTGAGCCAGGAAAACAATCCAGCGCTTGCCAGTGCTGCTCAGCGGCTGAAAGGCAGCACTCCCTGAATCCCAGTGACCACAATGGGCAGCCCTGCAGGCAGCTGGGAGCCATTTCCAGGGCTGGAGGCTGTGAATGGCAGTCATTTATCAACGCTGCCAGGAAGTGGCCGGGGGCTGCTACTGGGGCAGCTGGCCATAGTGCAACCTGCTCCTGCCAGGCTGTTCATTAACCAGGGACTGGCTTTTGCTGTGGTGGGGACAGTGCCAGGGCCACCATGGGAACAACCAGCGTTTCTAAGCTCTGGCATTTGTAGATTGAAACGAGAGACCTCTGATGCTTTGGCCATTCCTGGAACATGAGTTTTACCCCAGTGGCATGAAGGGTCATCTTCCTGGCCACTGAGGAAAGGATTAAGGGGCTCTGCAATCAAGGGCAGCCCAGCTGGAGCAGTGCTGGGGTGGGGGATTTATAAGAGGGGCATTTTTGGCAGCTCCTGGTTTTGCGGGGGAAGCAAGGTGTTTCTTGGGTTCTGCTGTGCACTTCCCACAGCTGAAGCTGCTGATGTCCCTAGCAGGTGGAGACACAAAAATTCAGACAGGTGTCTTCCAGTAACACGCCCACCTCAAAAGGCATTTTCCCCAGAGCCTGAGGTAGGTGAGTATTTCGAAAATGCCCTCAAAGACTGGGCATTGAGAAATCACAGCTCCCATTGAGAAATTGCTTGGGAGTAGAAGAAAACAGGCAGAAGGGTTGGAGAGGTCAAGCCCTCAGATGTGGAGGCAGAACAGCTGCACCCTTGGCATCACGACAGAACTGTTTCCATCTATCACCCTCCCTTGGGTGGCTGGAGGCTGAGCCAGCCCCAGGCTGTGTCCTGGACCACCCCCCTCGTGCCCCTGATGGATGCTGCTCCCCTGACTTTCCTCTCACAGGTGCCAAACATCACGTGGGTTTGGCAAAAACCAAGCTCCCCAAGGTTCAGTGGTACTGCTGCACTCAGCAGGGTTTGAGGATTAGTCATTACCTGTTCCTGCCATGTCAGCACTCGGGCTGGGGGTGTGGCGAGAGGAAGGGAACCCATTAATTTTTTACCTCTCAGTTGCAAAAGGGACTTAAAGATGTCATCCTTATAATGAGTAACAACAGGAATTCATTCCCTGCCCTGTGTAGGCAGTGGATGTGTGACAGATGTCTGGGCTGCTCACCCTGCAGTGCCTGCATGTGGGTTTGGAGGTGTGCTAAGAGCTCAGTGGGTCTCGGTGTCCCTGTCCCCACGGATCCCTGCCATGGGGTCAGAGCAAGGACAAGGCTTTACTGCTGGGCTTGCCCAGGAGCTTCTGTGCTTGGTCTTATCACAACTAGCGCCCCTTTGGAGTTCACTTCCCCAGGGAAAACACCTTATGCAGGAGCCAGGGCTATGTCCTAGCAGGATCTCACCTCTGCACTGTTCAGGGTGCTGTCCTGCCTCAGTTTCCCTTGTCTGAAGCATAAGCAGAGGCTGACTGAGGCTGCCTTCCTGCGAGCTGTGCAGTCGCTCGCAGATGCTTCTCGGTGTGATCCTAAAAAGAACAAAAGGGAGCGAGCATAAATGAAATTTATTGTTGGAAAATCTTAATTAGATTTTAAGACCCAAAGGGAGAAAAGTGAGTTATTATCTGACACAGCTAATGAGTGTTAAGGGTCCATTGTTATATTTCTTGTTTACCTTTCTGTACTGGCTGATACAGCCCAGATCCTCGCCTGTACTGCCATAATTAGGATATCTCATCTCTTGCTGATAGGGTCGGGATGCTCTTTAAAGCACAATGCTGTCTCATCCCTCCCTGGCAGGATGAGCGTGATTGGGAAGACAACTTCTGGCGTGCCAGTGCTCGTGCCTTCCACGGCACCCCCGTGAGCTGGGGAATGTCCTCCTGACTCAGGGCTGTACCTGAGACCCCCAGGTGAGAGACACCTCCCACAGCCTCAGCCACCTCCCTGAAGGGCCCCAAGCCAGCTTGCCGGAGGACCAAATCCTCCTCAACACCTCTCTCCACATAGTACAGGGGTATGAAGGTGTTCTTCACTAACCTCCCCACGCCCACCAGGATAAAGACACCATGAGTGCTCCATCCTACCCCCATTCCGTAATGCCATTATCTCTGGAGCTTCAGGAACATGTCCTGGGTTGTGTTCTGCTGCAGACAGGGTAGTCTCCTTTGGGGCAGAAGATATTCAGGGTGGGGTTTTTTGCATCCCCACTTTGTTACAAGGTGTATCATAAATTTTCTTTGTGACCTAGGAGGGTGCAATCCGTCTCTTGGAACTCCAGAAAATGGGATATCTTGCTGAAAGCCACCTTTACTCTGATGCTCCCCCGATCTCTCCTGAGGCTCTTTAGCTATGCAGGTTTGAGATGTTTCTGTTCCAGCTGTAACTGGAGCAGTTTGGGCAGGTGGACACCTATGATATAAATTATCCCGAGGCAGTTTAATTCCAGACTTGCTGCATTCAGGTAAACTGCTGCTGGAAGCAGCACCGGCTCTATCCCTGCACCTGAGCGATGTAGCCTGGGGTTTATAGCCTGGCATTGGGCACCTTGACACCCAAGAGGTGTGATTTGGATCTCCAGAGGAAAAAAGGGAGCCTGTCCCACCCTCATGGTCCTTTGGGTGGGGAGGAAGCCCAGCCACTCAGGTGGAAGCCATGGGCATGGCATGGAGGGATGGCTGTGTGTGGGCAAGGGGGCTGCAAAGTTTTTGGTCTCGATTCAAGCCACTGAAAGCCAGAAGTAAAATACCATCCATTGTTGGTTTATACACCCGTAGTAGCCAAACAAACATCCCCAGAGCCTGTCCTTATCACTTTATTACACCTGCTAGAGTGAATAGATTAAAGAGGATGGGGGAGGGGGGGAGAAAGCTGAAGAATCCAGCAGAAAAACTGGGTTTTGGGATTGTTAATTATTCTCTGGGGTCTCTAATCTTTAACTGGCAAACAGCATCACTAACTGTCTTAAAGCCCCTCCTGGAACATCCTGATAATAAGCCATCTGCATGAAGGCACCCCGTTATCTGCCCTCCTCCAGCCGCCTGTGACATGGCTGGAGAGGGAGATAATGAATGTGTGGTGTGTAATAATGACACGTCATTCATGATTATCGGCCTGATACCCAACCTTTTAGCTCCATTGTTTGTGCTTGAAAAAGGGAAAAAAAAAAAAAAAAAAAAAAAGAAAAAAAAAAAGAAAAAGGAATGTGTATTCTCTCATGTATTCAAGCAGATTAGGCATTACAGTAAGAATATTTGCCAAAGGAGCTAAAACTGCTAGCCACTAAACAAATGTAACCATGTAATTCAATATTAACAAATACCATTTTCATTAGACATTAAATATCTTGGGATAATGATGAGGTCATAGACTCATGTGTTTGGCCAGGAGGGAGAAGAACATTCATAAAAGAAGAGCTGTG